CCTCCTTCCAGCTTTCTCCCTTAATTAGATTTTCAAATAAATGGTCATTAAATGTTGAAACTATTTTGGATATCTGAATAATTTTCTTTTGTATATTTTTATATGAAAAATTAATCATTACAGGGTTATGATCAGTTATGTCACTTTCAAGTATAAATGAAGCTTGCTGAAATAAATTTGTTTTATAACTATTTCTTACGAATATGTGATCTAGACACGAGCCACTGCTTGGTGTCACTCGTGTCGGGCCATTTATAGCACTGTTAAATCCATAGAAATGCAAAAGAGATAGATATTGATTAACTTCTATATCCTCCCTATTGGAGATATTGATATTGATGTCACCAATCAGAAGCTCAATCTGTTTTTTCCTTCTGTTAGAATAATAATTTCCCAAGTCATTAAAAAAAGATTGTATGTCAGTGGAAGGTGGCCTATAACCACAAACAATTTCATAGCTTATGCCAGAAATACTGAAATTTATATGACACATGGTGACTTTCGATGAATCGAAATTCAAGTCTTTCACCAAGGCATCAAGACTCCTCTTAATATACACAACAGTGCCATCGTTTTTATTAAAATTTGCATTGTTATAGTAAACATTAAAGTTATTTATGTTATAGAGATTAATATTCTCAATAGACCAACTTTCAGTCAGTATAATAATATCACAATTTTTGAAATCATAGGCTTCCAGAAATATGAGCAAATTATTAAAGTTTCTATGTATGCTACGTATATTTAGATGCAAAATACTCAAAATATTGTTATTTGATTTAATTATAGTTTTAATTGTATCACAGTCAGTTGTACCTTGCAATTCTTCATCCAATAAATCCAATTGTTCTCCAATGTCCACTTCTGATATATTACCTGCCATTGGAACCACCATAGTCTATCTTACTCCTTAATATTTCCAAGTGATACTTATATGTTGGACAATCCGGGCTATTAGCTGCATGATTAATTTCAAGTTCCTGTTTGTATTTTGCATTTGCTCGAACACAATTGATGCACTTCCTATCCTTGTCCTTTGAGCAGTTGAGGGTGTTATGCATTTCTGCACAATAACCGCATGTTTCTGTTTGGTTTTTGCATTGAGTACCTTTGTGATACAATTCCTGACACTTAAAGCATCGCTGTATAGAGATATCTTCAAAAACAGGGTAACTAGTCCACTCAATAAACAACCTCTTATTGACAAGCATCCTATGAAATAAATTTGGTGAAACTTCTCCAAATATTGTGTAGGTATTGTTAGATCTATTTTTTTTTAGGTATGTTACATTAATGTTATCATTTTCATTGACATAATCATTCTGATCACGGATGCAAGTTTCCAAGTCGGTTGCATTCAGGCTTCCTGTATAACCAATAATTTTAAATCTAGGTTGTTTCATTTTGGTAATTTGGATTTCATAGTTAGGTAAGTTTTTCTCGGCTTCATCCTTAAAGAGGTTTGAGTCTTGTTTATTATGACATTTAACTACCACACTGCCATTCTTGGTTGATCTGATATTTTTAATGCCAATTTTTAGATTAGAAGGTTTGACATATGTTTGTAGATCTTTTTTTGTGACTTCAGCATTTTGTGGGTTTCTAGGAATAATTAATATACTAGGGATGTTACATATTAATAATCTTCTGTTTATTGATAAGTGAATTATTTGCTGTGGATTGTACTATGTTGCTATAGAGCGGAGTGGTATTAACATTTTGTTGTGCAAGCTCCAAATCTTTTATTTTGCTTTTAAGTAGGTTTATGATTTCATCCTTACCATCTATAATATCAATTTTATCCTTTATAGTCTGATTAAGTGATTCAAACGTTTCAAATTTAGTGCATTTATGACATAGAAATTTCATAATTCGCCCATTGCGAAGCTCCAACACTTTTACTTCTGAAGCCGTAACTTTGCTACATTTAGTACATATATTTGAATTACATCCATCACATGGAAAAACTTTTATGTTTATAGATTTTTTTTCCTTACATACATCACATTCCATGGTCCCAGCTGCATTTATTCACATGAAAAACATTACCATGTACTTTACTAGAAAATGTTTGTGTGAATGTTTACAACTTGGCAACAATGCTTGCTAGGTAACCTTCAGTACGGGTAGAATGGGATTGTTTACACTTTATTGGATATTAAAATACATTGTTTTTTCACTTGCTTTCACTCTCACAATGAAAACAGGGCACGATGTTTCACCCTAAATACTTTTGACTATTTAATGCTACCAAAAAAACATCAAAATAACACCTTTTTGATAGACAATTCAATGAGGCGACGGCCTACGTTGCCGGCGCACACTCGTTTTAAATGTGATCAATATACATATATTTGGAATCAGGAAGAAAGGATCTTTCATTGTATCGCAAAATATACAGGGTGTTCCATTAAAAAAAGTCGAAGTTGTCTACATTTCTCCATTTTCCGATGCGATTTTGTTTTTTCTGATACCGTTATAAGAAAATATAGAAAAAAACTGTCAAGTTTTCTATTTAATTTTTTTTTCTATCTATAATAGTAAAGGATGTAGGATGGGTCCAAATATAATCAAATACCCTGTGCATACAATAAACAAATTGTCACAAATCAATGTTTAATAGGGCTTGGCTCTAGTTGAAACCAAATGGCTAGCAGATTTCCTGAGAAAATCCAGCTGTTTATAGGTTTAATCTATATTTTTTTAGGCTTGAAACTGACAGAAAAAACCTGTTAAGTTGGTTATACGAGGTACAATCTCCCGAAGAAAGAATTTTAGTTGCTGGAACGACATCTTTCTGTAGTTACATTAAATAATTATTAAAACTATGTGCCTCAAATGATTAAATAATAATTTATCAACATAGGGAACTGAACAATAAATACATAGTATATTATCCTATAAAGATTAAAAGTGCATTATCAAATAATTTCCTTTAAATTGCCGGATTAAAAGTAATTTACTAGTGTTTACTTTTAATCCGCCAGATTAAAATGAGAAAGCAACGAGCATATTTTCGACCGGTACGAGAACTGTTAGCTTTTGCACCTGAAAATAGTCTGAACTTTTTTTCACGGTTGGAGGAAAACTCATTTTTAGGTTCGAGAAAGATAGTTTCTGTTACTTCTTGTTCTGGAAAAAACGTTATTTTGATTTTTTTGTGTTTGCTAGCTTCACATTTGAAATATATTTGTTGAATTCAGCTGCCTGGAGCTTATCACTTCCAAGGGTCTGTCAATTTTTTTTGGAAAAATATCAACATGGATTTTATTCCAACCATTACGTGGTCACAGTATGGGTTACAATCTATCTTTTCTTTTCTTTATGGGCTTTTTTTTATATTTCATTACAAAATCACAATCGGATTATTGTTCCATAAAGAAACTGAATACAATAATAAATTTGCTTGGATGTAAAATAAATAAATAATGCAATAAACTAGAACTCAGTAGGTATTTTTTATCATTTTGAAATAGAGAACTTTTTCTGAAAGTTCTTAACTCAGTGGTTCCAGTTCAGATATTAATTTATTCTTTACTCTCAAGTTTCAATGAAGGGTAATTTTCGTTTATGGTCCTACAGTACAGCACTACTCACTATTCCCAAATTCTTCAGGTTCACATAGAGATGTAAGTTTTCATGAAATTTTCAAATTTGAAACTTTTCGTGAAACTTTTCATGAAAAGTTGAAACTTTTCAATTTTTTTTGAAAAGTTAAGCACAGGAAGAATAGGACCTTTAAAATTATTTTTTAGAAATTATAGGTATTCAATAAATTGAATTGATGAATAATATAATTTTTATCAATTATTCCTTTCCATTAAATCACAATATTGCGGTTGAGGATTGAGGTAGGTAATAAAAAAAATTGCGTAATAGGGAAAAAATCTGTTTTTCTATGACCATCAAAAAATAAACAACTTTTGTCATATTTTACCTTAGCCGAAAACGTCATTTTCGTCACTAGTGATGAAATATCCCATAACGTTAACTTTCCTCACTAGTGACGCAAGTGAATGATTAAAATTTTACATGTTAAAAACATTTTTTCAAATCCAATTATATTTCAATTCTGTGGAGCACAATGAAAAAACATAGTTCATAACAAAATTATGTAAATTTTTGTGTCTCTAAATAGTCGTGTATGCGCTAGCTCACTATTAGTGTATGGTTAGATTAACAATGGGTTTTTTGTGACTAGAGTATCATTCCTTTGGGTACCTACGAAGAATTGAATATTTTCAGTAATAAAAAGACCATCACTCAAATGACTGTGTTTCATTTATAGTATATTACAATTTTGCTTTATATAATGTAATAAAATCAAAATACCTATAAGTATAAAATTAATTAAAAACAAGAACTTTTCATAGATGGCGCCAGCTATAAAACCAAGTAGGAACCCTGGTAAAAAAAACATAAGTTTAACAGCAAAAATCAAAACATGGTCTTAGAAAAAGTATAGTGTTTTACTTGTCAAAAATCATTTTTTGCAACTTGAAAACAACTGTTTTCTCGTTGCAAAAAATGCTGTTTTCGTCACTCGTTAATTATTCTTTTGCTCACGACCATGACATCCATTTTCGTTTTAACAAACTTGGGACAAAGTCACAGAATGCATGATTCATGATCTTTAAACTTTTCACGAAATTTTGAAAAGTTTTGAACTGTCTTGAAACTTTTCAATGAAATGAAATTTTATTGAAACTTTTCAGGTGAAACTTTTCACACTCACATCTCTAGGTTCACATTTGTTAATCAAAATGAGAATAAAGGGAAGAAAGAAATCAACAAAAAAACACAAGAACATTATTTCATAACATAACAAAAATGGCATAAAATTCATCCTAAGTCCAATAAAAAAGTTTTAGTTTAGTCCAAGGTAGGTTTTGTCTTAAAACAAGACAGAATATTCAATAATTAGTAGGTACTCTGTACCACACGTTTTTTCATTATTAAAGTAGTTTTTTTGTTTGTAATTTCCTTTTTTTTTCTTTTAGAGAGGTGGACCAGGTGACCGCAATGATCAAAATCAAGAATTTAGAGGAGGTCGTGGACGTGGACGTGGTGGATTCAGAGGAGGAAGAGGTGGTGGCGGCGATCGCGGTGATTATGGTGGCAGAGGCTCTGGACCTTCAGAGGACCAAGGTGGAGATGGAGACCGTGAGCAAGGTTTCAGGGGTAGAGGTCCAATTGACAAAATAGCTGACAGGATTAGAAGCTTCCAAGGCCCTACTTTCGATTTGCCACCAGTTGATATGAGTGAGAAGCCTTTCAATGGAAGAAACAGATTGTATATTGGAAATATTGGAAATGAAGTGACTGAAGAAGAACTAACTGAACTTTTTAAACCTTTTGGCGAGACTTCAGAAGTTTTTATGAACAAGGAGAAAAACTTTGGTTTTATAACCCTTGATTATCATGCAAATGCTTCCAAGGCCAAACGAGAATTGGATGGAATGCAGCTGAAAGGAAGAACTTTGAAAATAAGATTTGCTCCCAACAGCTCTACTATTAAAGTCAAGAACTTATCACCTTTTGTAACTAACGAATTACTTCATTTTTCGTTCAGTCCCTTTGGTGAAATAGAGAAGGTTCATGTTTGTGCTGATGAACGAGGAAAACCTACCGGTGAAGGTTACATCCATTTTGCCAGAAAGTTTTCAGCAATAACTGCTGTGAAAAAATGTTCAGAAGGATGCTACTTCTTAACAGCATCTCTTCAACCAGTTATTGTGGAATTGCATGATGCTGTGGATGACATTGATGGCTACTCTGACAAGAACATTATTAAAAGAAGTGGAGATTTCATGTCAGAACGTGAGCAACCTCCAAGATTTGCTTTTCCTGATAGCTTCGAATTTGAATATGGGCAGAAATGGAAAAGTTTATATGAAATGTTCCAACAAAAAGAGGAGGCATTGAAAAAAGAAATGCAACTGGAAAAGGAGAAGTTAATTGCCCAAATGAAATATGCGTCATACGAACAAGAAACTGAAATGCTGAGAAAGCAATTGAGAATTCGTGAAATGGACAAAGAGCGTCAGAAGAGAGAATGGGAGATGATGGAGGGAAGGGCTGAAGAAGAACGCCTGAGGCAAGAAGAAAACATGCGCAGGCAGCAAGAAGAGATGGAGGCAAGAATGATGGCTAATCAAGAGGATCTGAGGAGAAGACAGCAAGAGAATAATCTATTCATGCAAGCACAGAACTTGGACAGTCTTTTGGACCAAACAGATCAAGCTTATGGTCAAAATCAGTACTCTAATGAAAGTAAGAATCTAATTTTCAATTACGTTTTCAAAATAGCTCATGCTTGTATATGGCCTTCTTTATGATATACATTTTCTTTTCCTTCCAGGTGGTGGTGGCTCTGGTGCTGATTTGGTAAGTTTTCCTGAAACTTTTTGTTTTGTAATATTTAATGCAAATGGGAATTTTTGTTCTTTTGGCAAATATGTTAAGGCCAATTTCTATATTTTTCGCTTAACATATACCAGAGTCGTAAGACGAGGTTTTCTACTAAACGTTATAAAACAAATTGAATTTCTTGTCATTTTCTGGTCCACTTTGGGAAGTAAGGACAAGAACACTTTCAATAAATGTTTATGTTTGGAATTTAAAAACTGATAACATTGGCTGAAATTAGAATACAAATTACTTGCATAAAAGAACATGAGTTATTCAAATAAAACTAATTAGTGCCTTCTGGTCTTGTTGTGTCTGCGAACATTTCTCAAACAGTCTAAAGAGGACTTTTATCTGATAAATAAAGGGCCAAGTTAGTGTTTGTTGTGGACTATGCATTGCAATAAAATGTGGGCTAAAGATGAGAAATATTTATATACTATTTACTATTCAATTTTCAATACTTCAAATCTAATTTCAATTAACAACAAGAACAATTTTCCAATAATATGTGCAGACTATTCAAGCCAATTGCAAAACATAGCCTAGAATTGAGCATTTGACACACAAAACTTACCTACTGTAACCATAAAAATATCGTGTAATGCAATGAAAATATTTGATATTGAAAAATCTTATGATGTTCATCAGAATCAATTATATGGGTTAATCTGGTTACTAGTTTCTTCAATTTTTATAACTTTTGGTGGAGCAGAAGTTTACTGATTCTCGAAATTTGCATATGCATACCTTCTATTTTCATTATTATCTAAACCTGACAGTATTAACTAATTATCTGTTTCACAAATCACTTCTGATTAGTGATTACAATGATTAAAAAACTACTGGAATGTTGGTTGGTTGAAATGGAAGTTATTGAAATAAAAAGTCTTCATGTGGAATACTATACAAATGAATATGGAAAAGTTTTTAATCTATAATTATGTTGAATTCAAGTTATATATTTGCAATAGAAATTTTTTTAAATTGAGATACAAAATTGGTCCTATATTAGTTGAACTTTGAATATAAAAATTCACTTACAGTATACAAAATGTGGGTTCTGTTTTTTTATTGATCTGATAAATCATACCAAAACCACTTGCTTCGATATCAATTACCTTATGAAAATTATATATGTAGTCACAAATTGCATCCCAAAGATTGAGTTTGTGAAGGTTGGAATTCTCGGGCTCAGTCCTTAGTTCCCCCTTGAGCTTGAGACAATCATATCAACTGTTGATTAATCCCGCTTGTGCTATAATCTGTGAAAACAAAAATGCAGAATATTGATTAAAAAAATTGCAGATTTTGCAATATCCTTGGAAATATTGAAAATAATAACACCATACTTACTTATATGAAACATTAAAACCTCCTCACTCACGCAAATTACACTACTTTTGAAAGTAACACACCTATGCAAATTAATAATTACTAACTAAATGAATAAAAGAAAATCCAGAGTTGATTGATAATTAAAACTGTTAATAAAGCTATGAAATATATATCTATGTTGCAGATAAATATACAGTATTATTGTGCTTGCCAGACAAGGAAAAGACAAACAAAATGTTAACATATTTTATTAAGAAAATAGTAAAAAATTACGCAATTTCGTCACTGGTTTAAGACCCCTTACCCAAGCGGATATATATTAAAAAAAAACTTGGAAGCGAATGCTATGAAACCAACTCTAGTGTCAAATTAGAACATTTTTAGTAAGTTCAGCCAAGAAAGATTCTCAGTTATGCATTCATATAAAAATCTTGTCATTCACATATTATTAACATTTCACTGCACTGACCCCTGTTTCCCCAAACGTTGTAACCGAGGCGATATAACTTGGTTTGCAGCATTCCAAAGCCTATCCTTAAAAGATTCATTTTTGATTAATTTGCTGATATGGTATCACTGTACCTATTGTTAAATCAAATCAAACACGTATATTTCTGTGAACATGTTTCAGAATTGTCGGAAAAATTAAAGTAAAAAAGTAACCTAAAAACCGCAGAGTTGAGTAGAACAAAAACTTTAAAAAAAAAACTAGACTTACCTATATAGATATATTTCCTATAAAAGTTGCAAACAAACAATTAACTAAGCTCTAGGGTTACTAAAAATGTACAGATATGCATACAAATGACCAAAAAGCTCATCCAGTAAGCATAACAGTTCTAATCTTCAGTTCCCTTTAAAAAAAAGTGATAACTTTTAGATTCCTTGTATATTTTAACGAATATTTTAATGGACGTGATTTCAGGACCATCGCACATGTTCACTCGCGCACTAGGAACCTAGACCATGCCCGCGTTTCTGCATTGATAATGATTCACATCGACACACTTTTCAAAGTTATTGAAGTTCTTAAATATATGGCAGCACTGAAAAATATAGGGGTGATAACTGGGAGCAAGCCTTCAGATTTGAAACTTAATTGACGAATGTCCAGAGATGTTACTGGAATTTTTCCAAGCCAGCAGTCCATAGGAGAAGACGGAATAAATAAAGCCATAATAAAAGGACAAAGGAGTGCCTTGCATCAAGAGTGTCACACATTACAAACAAATGCAAAACTCTTTGAGGACAGCTTTATATAGATGTGATCAATATGATCATGACAGATATTGTTGGACAGAAAGACCTAGAAATTTTACAGTGCTGCTGGTCAATAATATTTGTAAAATTTTCTTGGGAAACGATCATATCATTTCCATCCCTTCATCAGGTGTCCATTGTAATGTTACTTACCTTTCTATCCCTTTCACTGACTGAAATTTTTGGAATTCGGGATGGGTGTCCCTATCCAAAACCTACAAGCAGGTTTGAAAAATCTGTATGAAGCGCCCCAGCGTTACTTCAATGATGACCCAATGGATGTCTCTAAAATTTGTGTGAAGCACTCCTATGTTACTTTACCGTTAACCCTATTCACTACAACAGTCCACTTACTTTTAGCTCTTTCCCACTGCTATAATAGCTTGAAAAATGAATGTATCGCCATTTTTGAAATTTTAATAATTATCTATTGAATGAAGCATTGCACTGTTCTTACAATGGGTTAGTTAGTAATATTATGTATTCTATCGATGATTATTAATATTATTATAATCAATTCACTAAGCAATTCACATTATAAAAGACTATTGGTACAATCGTATCTATAATAAGAAATATGTGTGGCTACTGTATTATAAATAAGTGTTGGCCTATGAATTTGTATAAAATAATAAATACAATGAATTTCATATAATAAATTACATACATAATCTATATTATCATATCTTGATTTTATCAGATCAAAAAGAAAATAGGACCCTTTCATAGTATACTTGAGAGGAATTCCTGAAATAAAAACATTGAGGTATCAATCATTGACTTACAGATATATTTTGGGTTTTGAAAAACATATTTGTAAAACTGAGAATTTGGACAATTTGAGTAAAAACTGTAATAAGCTACTTTCTCCAGCGTTGTGTCAAATATAATATAAAATTATTTTGTATGTTCACACTTATCAAAATTGAACATGATGTAAGAAACAATGAACATAATTTTGCTATTACCAAAATTTTAATTTCTAGCTTGGATTTATAGAACTCTGACATAAAAACATATTTGCTAGTTTATTGCATAGCTACCATTTCAAATGTGTTTCCGCCATGGCCAGATCTTACATTATTTTAAACATTGCCATGTGTGATATTATTAGGTATAATATTTGCAATGTAGCCGATCTATTCGTTTCCTGGTGTGTCATCTGATCTAGAATTGCTTACTTCCAAGGAGCAACTGAGAGATGAGTTGTTTTGTCAGTCTTGTTCATTTGACATACATGGTATTTCTCAAGCTAAATAAATACTTTTTCCGATCTTAGACTATAATTTTCTATGATTGGTTTGTTAGGGTAGGAAAAAAAAATCAAATAAAGCAAGTATTTCTAAAAATCGTAGGGAAAAAGAACATAGGGGTTAAAATAGTTCGGGGACAAAGGGAGCGTAGGACACTTATAACAGAATTTATTATCAGGACACAAAACCATTCTTTGAGCGCCGCAGCCGCTTTGAAGGACGGGACAACCAACAAGGTAGAGGTCCAAACTCACATGGCGAAGGAAGGGGGCATTGGGTCAGCAATAACAGACGCGGTGGTGGAGGCGGAGGCGACGATTATCAAAACAAACGACGCCGTTTCTAGATTCCCGTATTCCGCCAATATTCCAATAATAAAGTTTTATCCAGGGCGCCCAAACATTTTCAAATATTGGCGGCTTAGCACTTTAGCAACTAGTAGGTCTACCTAATTATTTTGAAAATAGTAGTGAAATTTTTAAACATGAGTAATATCATCAGAGAACTCCAATACTAGAGATGCAAAATAGTATATGTATATCAAATTGGATAAATTTAATTGTAATAGCATATTTTCACTATTAAATCCTTGAATACGACCTGCATTCAACCAATAGTTAAACCTCCAAAAGTAGTCATTGCCAAAAAAAAAAACTTTTGCAAATATTTTTGGTCTTAGGAGTTCTCTGCTAATATAGAAATTTAAAAAGTTAAATCCCATTTCACAAGGGTGTGTGTAAAATGTGTGTATGTAAGTTCAAAAGACCTATGGTATTTACTGTAGGGCTGGAACATTTTGGAATTCAAGTATGTATGCGTTAACGTATTTACTCGAATCATCTAACATTCAAATAAAGTATTTGAGTCTTTAAATAGGTATTTGATGCATATCTAAATGAGTTTTCAAATATTTAAACAAATTTTTAGACTTTGGAACAAGCGCCAGCGGTATACCTGGTTCGCAATTAGCAATTAAACCCATGTGTAATTATTAATGTGTACATGACGAAATTACTGAAACATTAAATTTTTATAGTTTGGGTCTATTCAAAGTATTTTATTTTGAGTAGCAATTTTTCATGAATTTTTATCAGTTAGTATAAATAAAATCTCAATGAATGGTAGAGATAATGTAAAAATATGAGTGTATTTCAAATTTTGAACAATATTAAAAAAAAAACACTTATTAAGTGGGCGCCCTGACTTTAAATTCATTTTATTAAATTGATTGTATAGAATTTAAGTTGAGAATTATTCCATAATTCGTGTAGCAAATAGTGTTTAGTTTTTCTATAATGAAATTATAAATTATTTTATTTAAATATACAAGTATTTGTCCTTATCTAGTAGTATCGACATTTCAATAGCAACTCATTTGATGCATCATTATTAACTTTATATTAATGAATATTTGTGTGGTGACGAAAATTGTCTAAATAAAAATATGACCTACATAATGTCCGTGATTAAGTTTCCTTTAGTAAAAACCTTTTACTACATCCTGCCAATGTTTTAATATACTTTTTCTATTTTGGTTCCATATCGAAGTCTTTTCGACACTAAAAGTAGTTTCGAAAAGAAGCTCTTTGTGACACTCCTTTTTTACTTATCGGAAGTTTGTAACACTGGCTGACTGATGGCCATCGAACTGTCATTTGCGATTTTATTATGGTAAAAATAAAAATAAAAAAGAAGATTTCTATATTTGGCATGTAATGTTACCAACCTAAACATGAAATCAGGAAATATGAGAATAAAGTTTCCAAGAAAAATTTGTTTTTTTTTAATTAAACAATACCAAAATAGAAAAAATAGTATAAAATATTCGTTTCATAAGACATTTTATCGCACTCGCCCTTTAGAAAACTCGCCTCCGGCTCGTTTTCTAATATAGGGCTCGTGCGATAAAATGACGTCTTATGAAACTTGTATTTTAATGTACTATTGTTGGATTCCTAAACTGGTTAAGTCATGAATGAATTAATGAATCTCTTTATTGAAAGCCTAAAGCTGTACCGGATGTCAAGTACCAACCCCTGTAACTTTTTTATTTACGATCAGAAATAACAAAGTTACAGGGGGTGGTGCTTTATAACTTGACACCATATACAATATTTTCTCTTGATCTAAAATGTCTTACCACTAACTTTAAACTAAAACACCAAAGTTGTATAAAGGACTCTTGAAAAAAAAGTAATTTCACTAGTCACAGTCGTATTTGTTTATATCAGAAAAAACATTATTAAGTGAATAAACATATTATACTGTTCATGCCAAGTTGAAAAACACAGTGTGCGCTTATGATGCTTAAAACCACACAACAGAAGTGAAAACTTCAACAAGGCAAGATTAATAATACAAAATACACGTTTTTTTTTTCTGTGTTCTATATTCACAAAGTAATAACATTTACAATGTATAAAATTATAATTATTGTGTATAAATTACTCTGGTAAATTTTGCACTGATCCTCATAGTTTCTCTCTCTCTCGCTCTGCTAGCTGTGTCTCTCACACTCAACTTCATCCGAATATAAGCGTTGCATAGCCGAGCGTGACTGCTCAGTTTCATTCAGTACCCGCAAAAAAGTGCTTCAGCACGCCTAAAGAAGTTTTCACTTCAAAAACAGAATTTTAGAAAATTGAGCGGTCTGCAAGTTTTATCATCTCTATTTCACGTGTTGTCACTGTACAAATCAAAACTTTTCAGAAAATAACAAGTGACAAGGATTCAAATCAGATTAGATTTTAGACATCACTATTTTTGAATCTTGAAAGAGTATTTAAAGTTTTTCCTGTTGACCGAATAGCGCTTTTTTGTAGAGAAAAAAAAAGCTGTTTACGATATGCTGCTGCCAAGCCTCAGAAAGGCATACTATATTATCTAGCATGAGATTCAAATTGGGAATGGTAAACTGCAACCGCTCTCTAGCTACTTTAATTGCATAAAGATAATACGTATAATTTGTTTGCATCAAAAGCAGGTTTTGATCTGCCCTGGGATTCTGTAACGACAAGAGATATTTTTGCTATTTCTATTGACGTCCCCTCTCTATTGATTTTGAAAAGAGGGAAGAAGACAGCAAGTGCCATAGCGATAGGGATAACGATCTCTATCCGTTAAAGAATTCCACCTCTCTGTTTCAGGTTCTCTTCAATCTCCCTTTTCATTTTGTCTTTGTTCCTAGATGACAAAGTGAAACTTTTATCATCATAAAAATTGTTAAAACAACTTTTAAATTAAGCTGGGTTGTCAAGAAAGAGGAAAAACATAATTGGGCCCAACTCAGCCCTGAGGTATTCCGCAGGCATTTGGAGCAAGGAATGACGCTCCAGTGTTGTCCCTGATATGTATGACTTGGAATATTTCTTTGATATAACACGATAATACTGAAGCCACAGCAGAACCCTTTCCCGGAAGCTACAGAACACCAACGTTGATCCATGATCCAGTCAAAAGACTTTGCAAGGTCACAGAGCACTGTAGCTGTAGAATGCTTATCTATTTGGCACAAACTTGATTTGGAAAATTGAAGATTGCATCCTTGGTACTTTTTTTGCTTATGAGCTAAATTGTTTTGGTGATGGTACTTAATTTTTTTGAAACATGATAACAATCTAGATTTAACAATTTTCTCAAAAATTTTGGATATGACTGGCAGAAGTGAGGTAGGGCGGTAGTAGTCGGGTCTTTTGATCACCCTCCCTTTGGTTTTATTAGGAAAATAACTCTCTTTCCCGAATGAGTCATGTTATGACCCTCCTTGGCAGCTATTCACAGGAAATTCTTTTGATATTTTCATACTTAACTAATTCTTGGATTTTAGCTTTATGATGGTTTTAGATCTTCTGCTTCTGACACCAGTACATAAGCAATACTGTTTGACTGTTTGTTTTTGTTCCAAGTAAATCATCAAATCTTTAAGTAAATCTTCATTCAGCAGGTTATAACTCTTCTGTTAATGAAGTTGCAACTCTACAGGAGTGAATATTCAAGCTACTGCAAGAGGTTCTTTATTTTGTTAGAGTTTACTTCAAGCTCACTATTATTGCTTCTTTGTCTACTGCACAATTTATTAATAATACAGCATGTTTCTCGCTTATCTTCTGTTTACTTTTCGATTTATTTTTTGTAAAAAAGTAATTTGGCTAACTTGGGAATTGCATATCTTTTGAAGTATATGCCAATGATCTTTTATTACTATATGGCACTTTTATAGCTTGGGTGAAGTCTTTGGACTGAGTTTGTTTTTCGAGTTTCCAGGAAAAACGAGTCTGCAACTTTATTGATAGGTCTTGGAAAGAAAGAGAACATTTTTCATGAATAGGTATGTTGAAAAATGGTGTCCAGTCGATGTTTGCCAAGGATTTACACCTGACGAAGTGAGTAAAAACCAAGTTTTATAATTTCAAGGGTTACATTCCCCATTTATTTGCTGATGTTGGATTTTCCTTGCTTTTCAGGTTAGCACTGATGATGGCCTAAGGCCGAAAGCGCTCTGCACTTATATTTCTTAATAAAAAAAAAAATGCACGAAATACAAACCTTCTTTTGCTTAATTGCTTAACGTGCACACAGCATTCAACCCCATTTTAAGGATTTATAAGTTTTTCTTGTATTTCTTTCAGAATAGTTTTGAAAGGTCTAGTGTCTAGGTTCTGACTACTTGTGTCTATCGGCACGTCAGATTATCATGATCTCTGAAAGCTGTATATACTGTTGACAAAAAGTTTCAGCAAAAGTAATCGATTATAGATGCTCTATTTTTTTATCGCTTATCAACATGCCTCTCAATATTATGAGTTGAAAATATGTATGCATTAGGATAGCAAGTATGCTGTTTCTATATCTTGATTTATATTATAGTTGGGTGTAAGTATTATTTCTGCTTTTAGATGTTAGATGTTTTTAAGGACAATGTTAAAAGATCAATGTTCCCCAGAGGAGACTTATATCATGCTCAATGAAAAATGTATTATTAGAAATACATAGCCATTTCAAATAATATAAGTAATAATATCGTTAGATTGGTCATGATTGGTCAGAACAGTTCCTTTTTACCTCTAAACTAAGCAAGCGGTTAAGATACCTTGAAGAGGCCCGGCTAACACCCAAGAAGTGCGGACTCTACGACCCAAGAAGTTGGCTTGTTTTGGGAGAAGCCTACAAATCTTTGACACCAATAGAGAAAAAAGCCAGAAGGTATCCCGATTCTTTGATGCGAATATGAATGTTAATTTCAACAATTAACTATAAGTCGTTTGGAGAAAAAAGCGGGAAGAAAGATTTATGAAATGATCAACTTTTTTTTCCTAATCTACATGATTTAGGCAGTCGAAAGAAAAATGATTCCTAGGAACCAATGATTTTCTTTCAGCTTATTTGTATTATACCTTATTTCTTTTTTATGGGTATCCTCATTTTTCTTAGGCACATCATCCTAGAATGTTTCATTGGACATTAAAATAAATAGATAAATACAAGTTTTCACATCCCTTCTAGAAGAATCATGGTTTTGTATCTATAGTGTTCGCTACAGTTTTTATGTGTAGAATATGGAATTTTTTCTTATGTGCGATCGATCCTGCATGTTCGATAACCTAAAAGTAAATTTTTTGACATCGATTACGTGATCACTGTTGTGGCGGCAAATTCATGAGCTTATCGATGGCGAAAAACAAGTAATTTCCTATTTTTTGTTGCTTTTGCTCCAAATTTCGCAGACAGTCCTAAAACATCGTTCTAATAATTTTTTCCAAATAACTTTTTCCGATATTCTGCCATCTAATCCCACTTTTCGCGTTTCCATATCTGAATTTTTCCAAATGTAGCGAACATTTTGGGGGACACTATATAGAAAACTGAAACAGGATCTGAAATACCAGAACCTATGGTTAGATCACCCATAATGCTGGTGGTAGGATGCTGTTTGATCAGGATATACATGCATAATTCAAATTAAACGATACATTTAGGGAAGAGGTTGAAGTCATTGAAAACAAAATTAGTATTATATTCTCCATGGGAATCAAGAAAGCAGGAAAATAATGAACTTCAATCCACAAAAAAGGGTAGTAAAATAAACATGGTTCTATGTTCATGGATGAGAAATGTGGTGACATTAGTCTGCGACTTACTTGGCTTAATCATTATGACGTAAAAAGCTAGTATAGCTTGTTTCATGTTGAAAAAAAAAGTAATCTGACATTATCAATCAAACAACATAAATTCGTTATTTTTAGTAATTTTTATTCACCACCTTGTATCGTGCAGAAACAGAAGTGAGCTTATCCTCGTCTTGTGTAACTGAGGTTACTGTAGAACAAATAATAAATAAATAGAAATCCCAGTACCATGAAACCCAAAATAAATAGAAATCCAAATAACATGAAACCCGAATATGTATTAAACTTCCCAATGTTCTATTAAACTACAGACCAAGAGAAAATGTATGCATTTATCTAGGGACTATATCTATATGAAAAAAACTAAACAATTACAAACA